AATAAACACGGTAGAAAAAGCTGAAAAGTAGCTTTAGCTATAACATTACTTAGGAATGAAGTAAATTACTTTGTATTTTTAAGGTGGATATAGCGATGAGTACAAGTATTTAGTTTATCACAGTGTTAAATCTAAGGAGTGTTAGAAATGTTCATCCGGTGTTCTTTGTTATAAGTGTATGCGAAAATTATATTTCCAGAATAAGTACCAAGTTTTATATTTTATAAATGTCAAATATTCTCTTCTCATCGTGTCTTCTCAGTACAACTACAAAACCAGGCCATGGCAGCTACCTCAAGGACCTGACACTAATATTTGTAATAATTAAAAAAAAAATAGTAGGTAGTAATTATTATCTACATTTATAAATTTTGCGAATATTTGCGTAACAGGTAATTATAATCTGAAAACTGAAAATCTACATATATTATTTAGGTTATAGAGCGCACACAAGAGAAGTTGAAGTACAAATAGAGATGTGTAATGAAAAAAAAAGAAAAGCAATATTTTTCCTATATTTTTTACAATTCTTGGATACTAATAAAATCTTACCATTGAAACTTATCTGTGGCAAGAAATGAAAATGGGTGGTTCTCATAATGTGTAACATCTCAAATCCCAGTTTTGTCGTGTGAATTTTCACTACAAAGTACATTCAAAGTCGCAGGCAAAGCTAGTATAAACTAAGCGTGTATAAAACATTCATCGTTAACGGGTCTAATAATAATCCCGATAGTCAACAAACAGTCGACACCTCGGAGGAGCAAAAACCCGATTTCAATACCACAAAGACAAGACATGGAGGGCTCACACCTTCGCTTTTGTACCGCACAATAGCTTCGCATAAAGGGATAAAGGCCTCAACAGATTCGTCAGTTTGATAATAGGTTAGCTGATATGGACGTTTCAATAATGTGGTCACTTTGTTTTTTGAACGTCTTGTGATGAATTTCTCTTCATACATCTTTTTATGTCTTAATAGGTTTTGTTGTTTGACTAGGGCTGTCGATTAGAAGGTTCTGTTCTATACAATGATGGTGGTATTGTGGCTTTATGAGCTTTACTCTCTTGATTCTTGTGAAATCTATATAATTGCGATGGCAGTGGTAGCCCAGTGGCAACGCGCTCGCTTGGAAATCCGAGTGAAGCGGGTTCAAACCCCGAGTCTTACATCTCTGATATTTACATTTGTCTTAAGCGTAATTGTACAAAAATATGTATACAGTCTTTATTATATGAATTATTTCTTCAATTTCCTTTTTCTTCTGTTTGAAATATACCAAGTAAATAAAAATATCTATAAGTACAACATAAGTATGTTTATAAGGAAATAACATAATTCATGTGATTATAAATGGCGAAGGTAAAAAGACGTTATATTTCTTATTTCACTCACAACACGGCACGGCAGCGGTGTAGCAGTAACAATATTTACTATTTTGAGCCCAAAATAAACTATATGTCTTCAAATATATTAGATAAATACATAATTTCGTGCTGTGTTCACTAGAAAATGTAAATTGTAAATACTTTTCAATTTATATTTTCTCATCACTGCGCTTTGGGCCATGATCCCAAATCTCTATTAACCAAGGAACATGTTATGTAAATGTGTTTTATTCATAGAATATATAAGTAGGTGCTGTTTATGGGTAAATTAAAAAAATAATATTCTTTGTGCAAAAATCAAACTCATGACCGCCAGCTTTGAAGTTAGAGTATCTATAGGTCACCAAGCACGTAGCAGTAGCATTTTTATGATTAATAATATAATTAGTTGTAATATAATGTAATTCTAATCATGTTAATTTCATAGAAGCTTATACTGAATATGTTATAAGCATGTAAGTTAATCATTTGATACAAACAAAATATGTTGCAAAAAATTTTGAAGACTAAATATTCTTAAAACGTTTCTTTTTCTCTATATACTTAACGAAACGTCTTAAATAGTCATGCATATTTCATGTTCATAGATTTTTATTATAAGTATATTTTGGCACACACAATCAATTATCATACCTATGTATTTTCAATAATTTCATCACATTTATCAATCAGAAGAAACTATGTTACAAAGAAAAAGCTTTCACCGAGCTTTAAGACTGAGTCGAAATAACAAAAATCGTGATGAGAATATCATTTTTAATATTTATACCAATTCCTTTTTTAAATGTCGGTTAAAATTTTAATTTAAAACTATGATTTCGAGCTTATTTTTCATGTGGAACAATAATGCGGCGCGCACGCATTCAGAGGGGCGCTTTGTCTCGCTGTATTAGGTACCCAACAAAGCACTTACATTTGTCGTATTGATTGGCCTGGCACCAGTTTGAGCTAAATCTAACCTTACATATAATAATAAAGTCTAATGTCTGTCTGAGCAACGCATTAGAACAATGCCAACGTGTGATCTCTATATATTGAATGTGAAGACATTCAATGTCTTTAAATTTTGACCGTTTCAAGCGATTAAACAGCGATTTTGATATATCTATTACAACAATTGTAGAAGAGATAAAAAATACAATAAAGTATTCTATACGGCTAGAATACTCTCCTACCGTTCTTACGATATATTTAAAACAATGTAATTTCTGATTGTAAAATATAGCTAAATATTAATTATTTTCATCTCATTAAAGCTTAAGAAAATATTATTTCTATAAATATTTGTCTATAATATATATAGCGTATATATTATTTTAATACATCCAACTACTTTGATACTGTATGGCGTGGAAGGAGAATTTTTTAATATTTATTTTTTGTCAGGTTGTTTAAAAAGCTATATTTTATCAAATTGATTTTTGTTATCTAGATTACTGATGCATTACTCACTGGCCACTTTTTACTGACTAAAACTTTCTTCTAACAACTGAAATGCATATATTTTAAAAGAATTCGTCTTCTTTTAGTCTTAACCCATCATTCCCTACAAAGACATTAAAATTATACTTCACTAAATAGTCTAAGCAAACTTGAATGTTTTTAAATACTTCCACCACATTCAGTGTGAAGAGTTAACATCACATACATACAGCTGCTATCAAAATAGGGCAAAATTAAAATTTTGGAAACGAAATGTTAAGTTTCTTTCAATAACAAGTCGTATAAAATAATATACAAGATGATATAAAGTAAAGGTGTCTTAATGACAGTGCAGCCGATGTACCACCCTCGTACATACGGCTCGAGGGCTCTCGATATCGCACCAAGATCAAAAGTTCACATTAGGAGTCATGTGTAAATAAGAAATTAATTTTAACACATATTTACAGTCTTTTCGAGATATTTTAACAAGTTTTTTTAAGTATGTTATTCACTACTTTTTAATTATTTGAGATTTAAAATATTTATAGAGCTATGTATTTAACAAACTATTGTAAATTTCATTATATATTTGAAATTTGTAAACTTCTAAAATACATTTTTTTAAAGCTACAAAATTTACCATCTTTATATGTTTTTAATAAAAATAACATTTTATTATTTTTTAGATGATACAGATTACAGGAGGCAATAAGTAGAAGTAGGTGATAAATTAGAATTTTTACTATAAATGCAATAATTTTTGTAAATATTTGTTTTTTGAAAGTTTTTGCAAAAGTAAATCAGTGCCTAACATTAACATTAATATAACCGTTGTAAAACAGTAACGTCTTCTTATAAGATAACAATTCTTGTCCCAAAAAGTTATCCTTTACTATATAAGACAAGATATGTTATTTAATAGATACTATAGATTTATTTACTGAACATGTACTATCATAATTATAATAAAAGCTCGCAATAAAACTTTTTTAATTTATAAAATTATAGTTTGCCAAAAATATTCATGTAGGTATAAGCTCTTTTACTTATTGACGCCATCCGACGGCGCGCGAACTCATATTCTTTTTACCCAAGTTTTATGGCATTTTTTGAGAGTATGAATAAATGATTTGGCTGTATTATTATATTACTTAAAATATAGGTCCATAATATTATATTATTGTAATTATAAACAATAATAATTAACAAGTAGTTGCAGAATTTTCAAATCATATTCTATTTTTATTTTAACGAGATAATTATTTAATACAAGAAGTACTAACATAGACTCGAAATATTATTAAATTCTGATATTTTTATTTATTATTTTATAAAAATATGTCTTAATTTCATTAAAAAAAAATTCTTAAATAAAATAAATATTCAAAATTTTAGTCCGTACATAAACTCAAGCCTGCAAGCTCATACAGGTTTAACCTCTATAGCTTTTTACTTTTATCCAATCAGCAAAAATCTTATTAGAAATATTTCATTCTGTCATAAATTTATTTTACTTACATAATATTAGTATTGTTCCTCTATTAAGTCGAGGTTCAGAATATTGATCGTGATATAGATCATCTTACTTTTTTACACTATATTTTCCTTTTATTATTTCCACTGTAGTTTTATTAATAATGGTTTTAGATTGTATAGTTTATTTCAAATGACCAATACGTAACTTTAATTAACTATAATCGTTCTTAATAAATCCTCGATTGCCTCAACATTGATTATGAAGATGACGAAATATTATATAGGCCACTAATCAATAGTGCTGCGGCTACACTCCCGCCAGCGTGTTGGTGAAACCCGATCTGCCGATGTACAAAAGGCATTGTGTCGATCCTCGCTCTAAAGAGCTAATTATAATAAAGAAAAAACGCTAATTAAACGCGTCGAACAGCCGCCTGCTTAAATCCAGCCTTTGTTTTATACGAGATACGCGTTTGTGTGACGTGTGATTTTATATTCTTATACGATTTTTTGGAGCTTTAACGGTTTAATAAGAGATGCTATTGTATTCATTGAATTGGAAGCTCTTATTGGAATTATATATGATAGATTAGTATATTTTTGCTTATAAAAAATATTTAAGTTTGATGAAAACATTACAAGGTTATTAGAAAAAACTGAGGCGTACAATTTGCGAACGCCTATTATAGAATATAAAAGAATTGACTTACCAGGTGGGGGATGTAATAGCGGGGGCCCCGGTAGGAACGCGGCCGCTACAGCGGCCTGAGCATTGAAAGCGGCAGCGTAGGCCACCCGGCTCGCCATCGAGGCCGGCAGGGGGAACTGTGGCGTGTACGCAGACCTTGGCTCTCTGTTTTCTGACAAGTTCAGTACTCTATCTCCGTCGCGGTTCTCAAAGTATCGGTCTCTACTTTCTCTGTTGTCTGAAAGCCCCAGCAACTCTTGTATCGCAAAGGGCGAGCGTTGCGGCGCTCTGGGCGCGCTCGCGTTCGCGCTCATCGCTTGCATCTTTACGGCTGGTGTACTCTCAGCTTAAAGATTTTGCATTGTCAGCAAACTAATTTCGTTCCGCTTCATAATAAAAATATATCACAAATATTAAGATTCGACGTTTATTTTGCTCGTTTTAATTTTAAAGCGCACTTGGTTAAAAGTTCTAAACTACACTTTCGAGGAGTCTATGTAAAGTTTATGAATATTTAGGCCTTATAATTTTATATGAAGTTTGAATAATGAAAGAGAAAATTTTTCGTAACGGCGGAAAAATCGCGAAAATGATCTAGATCGCGTGTTCTTTTGTGACGACACGAGCGCTCGCCGCGGCGTCCGGAGCGCTTCTGTCGGCGGCGCCGCCCGGCGCTTTGTAAAAACGAGAAAACCCCCCGCGAAGCAGAGCCGGCCACCGCTCGCTGCCGAAAAATCCTAATTCACAACCCTCCCGGTACTACGCACTGCCTTTTGGAACTGAGACGCGGCCCGCGAGCCCGGCCGAGGAACGACGCAACGAACAGCCGCGCGCGCGGACCTTACGCCCTTTCGTCCGCAGCCCCGCAACCCCCCAGCGCGGGCGGGCGGAGCCTACTAATAGCCAATACGGATATTTTGTTACCGCACTCTATTGGCCAGATTTCTTCGCGAGGGACACGCCTACTCAATGTTTTGCTATGCCAAATAGGACTTTATACACTCGGTGATACATCTCAAATTGAATCGCGCCGCGTTGGTTTGATTTAATTTTGATTAATTGAAGAAATGAATAGAGCGAGCGTGAGTCGCGCGGCGTGCGGGGGGCGCGGGGGGAGGTGGCTCGCGTATCGCAGGTGGATAGGCGCGTAATTTCCCAGACAGTGTGTCCGTCGCCTTATTTAGCTTCAATGGCCTAGAGGGAGTATTAATTTACGTACATCCGCAGTTTCACACGAGTGTATAGTATCCCTTTATCGATCATTACCTATCTTTCTGCCACGTATGAAATAAAGGCAAAACATGATACCAACACCTACAATGCTTCGGACGACTGTCCTTTGAGTATGAGAATGGTCGAAAGCGATTGTATGGCACCGAACAGAACAGGTAGCTTTGACACAGCTCGCTTGTATACAAATAGTAGGGGCCGGGCCGAGACGAACTTTGTTTATACGGTTTGAAAGTAGTCAATTTCTACTACTCACGGTTTAAGTATTCTTGAATAATTTAGGAATATTTTTTTAAATAAATAAAATAATAATATATAAAAAATTACCCTTTAATATTTTTAAAAGATTCAAAAATGATAATTATTTTGTAAGAAATAAAATCCATTAGAATATATACTCCATACCAATCAAAATGCTGAATTAGCTGATGGTGTAAACATCAAGGCACAAAAAAAAATTAATAGAAAATTAAAATTACAATTTAAAGTTTATGTATACTTAGAGCTTTAAGCTCTTAATTTTAAATATAAAATAAATATTAATCCAGAGAAGTTATGTGCGATTCTAAATACTTGCAGTGTTAATAGAGGGTTTCACTTTACAAGGATATATAAAAAGCTATAAATACACAAACAAATAAGTAACTTGTATCAAGTTTTCTAAAGCTTTCAAAAATTTCTAAAAATTACGCATTTCGTCGTCGGAGCGACGGTACTTATTTGTTCAATTAGCTTTTTATTAAAACGTTGTATTTTAAAAATTTACCCATCATTGATTAATTATTATTAGATCTTTTAACTAATATTAAAGTTTATGTAAATAATGGAAGACAAAAATCGATGAGACGTATCTAAAACATTTACAACATAGATAAAAATAACTATATCGCAGAAATTGTCATTTTTTAAATATTTATTTTCTATATCTACTGATAATTTCAATCACACCTAATTATTCATAAAGGAAATTATTAAAAACAATTGTAATGGTTATTGTTACATTCAGTGTTTATAAATTAAGAGACCTTTCAGAAGTTTACTATGAAACAGCTCTATAGGATAGATCCTAATTAAATATATCTATTCAAATATTAAAAAAAACTATTACTTAACAGACTATTAATTAATAAAAACATATTATGAATTAATAAAAAAATTGTACAATATATACAATTGCATATCACAATGTTTCAAACAAGCCTCATTGTGATGAAAGTTGCTAAACAAATGACTTCTATTTAACAAAGACGCCTCTTAAGTATACTATAATAATTGGGCGTACCCACTCTAGTCACACTATTACCTGTTCAAATAATGAAATAACTTAAGTAAAAGCTCTTTGAAAGATCACAAAACCTTTGCATAACGCATGCAATCGTCGACACGTCGTTTGTCCTCAAATAGAAACCAACAATCTCACCTCTAGTGCAGTGTGAGGTGAAGCAGATACGTGAGAATTAATTAGTATCGCATGCATCAAGCTATCGAGACGGCCTTTGATCTTTAACGAAGGCATGCCAATGACGTCTATGCACTTCACACCGGTAGTAATGAATAATCTATAAGTATATCATTCACCGCAAAACTCCAGAACCAAGAAGCGTATTAACTTGAAATTTCGTAGGTCGTTCGAGAGTTGAGTGCTAAGAAAGGGTGTGATGAAATGCTCTCAATGTTCTTTAAATATCACCAAAAATATTCTTACTTTAATTAACACTTGTAAGTATTCTCGGGGTGCAGTGGATATGGTCTGCTATTTAAAAATCCTTGGAAAAGTAGTTTCCTGTGTGTCGACAAAACGATAGGACACAAGACTTCTGCAACATTTTCGACAGATAATATTTTAATTTATATCAACTTCCAAATTAGTCAACAATATCGGACTGCAACGAATGCATTTCGAGTAAAATAATTAACTAACCCGTTACCTGACGCGTATTACTCCTTTTGAAAGCATCGAAGGGTCCAAGGTGGAAATTAATTAGTAGTAGAAAAGTGCATTTTCCCCGAACGAGTCTCTTTGAGGACCTTTGATCTCTAACGAAGGCGCCAATAAGTGCACTAAGCATCCCGCAATGAAGATTATGTAAATTATAGACGGTCTGACGAAGGTGAGCTTCGCCTGGCAAGGGATGATAACGAACTACACTTGCGTTCGAGCTACTGACTTGCTTGTACTCTACACGTGTCACTCGCTCTGTGTACTTAGTAGTTGAATTTGAATTCAGATTCCTCTAAAGGCTAAACAGATTTTGATGTTGTTTTCCAATTTTTAAATAATTCACTGTATGTAGAGCTGTCTATCTATTATTATTACGAGATAATATTTAGAACAATTGTCTTTTTATTCTCGACTCTACATTAATTGCAAGTGTTTCAGTAACTTTTTTCAACACATTTTATTTTTTCGAGCCCACACGGTGGACTTAGTAGAACGTAAAGTAGACTATATCACTCGCCAGGCTATAATCTGTCTGAGAGTAGAGAAAGAATATTGTTTCTAGATTTATTCGAAGATTCGTTAAGAATAGACAAATCATTGTACCCATAAACACATTTCGCATTTGTAATAATATAAAAAGGTAAGAACTTTGGAGTGTGAAATTCATAAGTAATCTTTAATCAACTGATAATATAACCTAAAAAAATAAGCTAGAGTAAATATCATCAATAAACTACATATGAAAATCCATAGACGTAGCTACAGAAGTAATAAAGCGAAAGGAATCGTGTGAACGTGATTCTCAAAAGTTTTGAATGGCAAGTCCGCCATTGAGAGGTAACATGAGCCCGAGCAGGATTCTGCCTCCTTGCGCTCTATCAATATTGTGATAGCTTACCTTAACTCTACATAGATTTTAAAGGCATGTAGAGTAAACTTTAAGCAATTTGAAACTGTTTTTTTAATCATAAGATAAAATAAATTAAGGACTTAATAAGAATTTGTTTATTTTTAGGTTAGAATGTGCTTGGGTAACTATTGTCTGATAATTAATTTTTTTTTATTAGATTTTTCTATTTAGCTCTTTAAATTAGTCAATTTTAATATTTATTATCTTTTGGCAATAAAGATTATTAGTATTATTAATATTTTAGTACTTACCTACTACCTGTGTATATTTTGAAATACTTTGCAAACTTACCACAATGAGAGCATTGAAAAAATATATTAAACAGATTGATGGAATGAAGCTAATAATAAAACTTAGAATTCAACGCGTAATAAAAATATATTCTTAGTTTACATGTAATGACTTATATTTCTATCTAAAAACTACAGAAAAAACATAAAAAAATCATTTTTGTGTTACAATAATTTACTCCATCGTAATTATCTATAATCATATAATTTGCACCAAATCCGCAAGAGAGGAAGGAAAAAATTGTGATCTCGAATTTTATTGACATTAAAGTATTTTTTTGAAACGTTAACAATAAAATTTGTGTTAGTTTTGTGTTTAGCCTGTTCCACCGAAACTCGCTGCATCGAGTCACCCCTAGATAAGTTGGCTTTCTACAATTGATACCTATTGCTAATAGAAACCTGCAAAATGACATAGTGAAAATAAAGGAATGACGTATTATTACTGTATATTTGACATAATACTTAAATATGTCATTTTCATACATTTCTTAGTTTCATGTTATCGCTAGCAATTATAAAATACTAGCGACTCACCCACGCTCCGGTCGGGTTCATCCTTAGTTACGTTTTAACGTTTAATATAGATTTCCCAGAGATGAGATATTTTCCGCAGTATCTTCACCTGGATAACCATCTATCATCATACCAAATTTCATCAAAATCGGTCCAGTGGTTTTATCGTGATGCAGTCACAGACAGACAGACAAAAATACTGAAACCTATATAATCGGCCTCTGTATTAATAGTAATGACTATTTCAATAAGATTTTCCAAAAAATATTTAATGTACAGATTCGACTCGGTGAGAATTTTATTATATGTATGGATTACATACATAGGTACATACGGCATTACAATGATTTGTTCCGGGACTTACCTATAGCGTCAGCGCTAACCTAATGCTCAAAGTTATGCTGGAATGCTCCTAAGCACAGCCAGAGCACTTAA